ATTATTAGAATTAGTTTTCATGCCATAGATAATCCTGAGCTCCATTGGGCTCTCTCTCCTGAGCTGTAGATTTACAGGCCATGTTCACAGTGGTTTATGGTCAGTTCTACCAAGCATTCCTTATGCAGAGATCCAGGGGTCCAAAGCACCTCAGTGAAAAACAGAACTGTGCACTTTGATATAAATAATTTTATGTAAAGTTCATTTCTCTCCCTAGAATATTAGATAAGTAAAGATAATACTAAAAAATGAAAAATAGGTATATTGGAACCCTTAACACTGAATTAAGCTTCAATACATCATTTATTCCAAACAATGTTATCATTATTTAGTCTCAGGTTAATTTAACTAAAAATCATTTCAGATTGTCACTTTGTCAATAGCAACTGTCACACTTAGTAACTGTCTCAGTTAAGAAGAGACAAAGAAAGGGGAGGTTGTGAAAATATGATTTAGGCCAGGCCACTTGTTTTACTATCAACTTGGTGTGTTGGGTGGCGAAGTATGACACTGGTCTTTAGAAAATGTTGCTCTTTTTCCTTTTCATTGTCTGGGGGCAGGGAATCAAATTTGATTTTATAAAATATTATATTACAATATAGTGTTCATGACTGAGTTCTTATTTCCTTAAATTTTGTGCCCAGATAGGTGCCTCTTTTACCTCATCCTAGCCCTGACCCGACTACATCACCTTTGTTTTGCTTTAGAGGTCCTCATTCAACCTACATTTAGATTACCTTTCTCCCATCTTCCCCTATATTGTCACGTTCCTGAATCAAAGAGAGGCTGGTCTGTTTTAAGGACTTCTGAAGAAAAGAGCACATAATTCTAGCAAGTACACCAGACAAGCTGTGAAAAACTCATAAGCCTGGCAACTCTGGTACTGAAAATCTCTTCTAATCCCCCTCTGGCATGCCCCTTTGGTGAAAGCTAAACCCTGAAGTGGATGAGCACATGAAAAGAGAATAAATTCTCTCTGCACTCACCCAATTATGATGTTGCACACAGAAGAGAAAAACACAAATCATAACAAAACGCCAAGTTCCCAAATATCACGAAATGTCTGCTCTTTCAAAACAGAAATAATAATACATATTTTCTCATTCTGGGTTTTACACTCTTTTGAAAATTTATTTCGTTTCCCCTCTGAATTAAATCTTGTGGTGTTTCCACTTGGCCTCACAGGAATCTAAAGCTTTACTTAGGTATGTGAACTGGGGAATGGAGGCTTCAGGGAAAAGAAATTCAAAAGTCTCCAGTGCATAAAGAACTTTGCTTTTAGACCCAATGCTATCTTGTTCTCATGGGCCATATTTTGTGTCCATCCGCTATCTTATAGATGTCAAGGGACACAGTCATAGTGCCTCATACACAATAACCCTCTGTAAGTAGTTGTAAATGGTGAATCATATGGTGAAATTCAGAATAAACCCAGAGTAACTGTTTAATTTCCAACTAACAGATGAGAAAACTGAGTCAGAGAGTCATCGAGGAACGTACCCCATAGCATCCAACAAGTGGCAGTAAGGTTGAAGTGGGGCGTGGGAGATCTCAATCTCAACTTGAAGCTTGAAAGCAGGGTCATAAATTACACAGACACAACTGATAGGTGGTTAATTGATGTGGATACTACTGTAGCCAGCACCATCTGTCACTTTGGGGTACTATAATTTATAGTCTCTATAATTTATAATTACAGGGATATTTTGTCACTGTATTCCTTTATCACTACTTTCTGATTTCAATGTCAACCCCAACACACTGCAGCATTTTATTTTAGGACATCTACCGAACTTCATTATTCTGTCCCCAGACAGATGGCAACTTTGCTGTTTTGACCAAACCCAGGACTCCCTATCTGAACACCCAGAACCAGTTACATCTTCGCTCAGCTTCCAAGTGCACTACAACCTCTTCTTTCCCGCAGAAGCCATTAGGAGACGGAAAAATCACATCGCCCTCTTTTCTACAAACTCCAAATGGACTTATAAGCCAGAACATTTGTTCTGCTCCTTTATCAACACAAGGACACATGTTAAAGGTCAAAACTCACCCCACCCAAGTCCCCATGGTATTTTAAATATAGAGAATCCAAGTGGTAGATCTGAGTCAGTTCTTTGGAGTTTGGGCTGCTTATTAGAATCATGTGGAGAACTTTGAAAATCCCAATGTCTGGACTGCCAGCCAGAACAAATGAACAAACACCATGGTTACAGGGGAGACTCACAGCTGTTCTTTACAATCCCCAGGTATTGGGGATGGACAGGTGAGTCTGAAAACCTGCTGTTTTGCATTCTGTTATATAATGAATAATACACCTCTCCCATAAGGTCTGAATGCACATAAAGTTAAGAAAATGCCTTGGCATTTTAAGCTTTCTCTACTCCAAATGTGAATCATGGACCAGTAACAACAGTACTACAGGGAGCTTGTTGGAAATACAGAATCTCAGCCCACTTCTCCAATCCTACTGACTCAGAAGAAGCAACCTCCCAAGATTTGAAGAACTCCATAAACACCAGGAGTTGGGGAAGCATACGTTTATGGCCCAAAGTGACCGCCTACAGCTCAAGCCTCAGAAGGCCACTTATAACAAAAAAGTTTTTCACAAATATCTATAGTTTACAGCATGGCATTATTAGTGACCTTCTGGACTGTTCTTTGCCTGTACCTAGAGGAAAAAAAAAACAAAAAGAAAAACAAAACTAATCCTCTTCTCTTCCCTAAAGAGTCACTCATACAAGGATAGCAACAAAAGAAGCTAGAACAATTGCACAGCTCAGCGTGGGCTTAATATGTGCACTTTGTCCTTCTTAAGAGTAGAGAAAGAAAGGTTCTGTTCTTACCTTGGCATTTATATACCAAAAGCATGCTTGGAAACCACATTGCATTCCTGTCAATGGTCTTTTGAGAATAAAATGAACCTATCTAAATAATGTCACACAAAATAAGAAATTTGGACAGTAAAAATTCCATGTTATTTTTCTCTTTGTGTATATGTTTTCTAGATTTTCTACCATATACCAACAAAATGTTATAAACAAAATTAATGAGGGATTTACAAATAGAAACATCACTGTATTTCTTGCCCACAGGAGAGACACAAGTAAGATTATAAAAATTCTCAAAGCACATGATTGGTTGGGGAGAAATTTATGAGAATTTATAACTTGATGAGAGTTAGAAATATAGGAAAAAATTAAGTGCAGTTCCAATTCCCTGATATAAAAACAAGACCATGAAATGCAGGTCCATTCGTATTTTTTATACATATTTACATTTATTTGTGTTTCTTAAAACTTGAATCCAAGCAGAGTATCTTGCTTGAACCAGAAATTGCCTTGATACTGATTGGCATACAAATAGTCTTTTCTTAAAATGCATTGAAAGGGCGATCTGATTACAAGACCTTCCCTGGACTACTGGAATGGGAGGGGAACTGCATTCAGCAGGGGTCTTAATGTATTGGCCTGTTAAGAAGGGGATTAAACAATGTGGAATTCCTTTTCATTCAATTTCCCTAAATAGTATACTTTTATTATCACCTGAAATAATTTGAAATGAAAAGTAATCAAATTTGGTATTAGTCTATAGAAATAACTGAACATGTCTCTTTTCTAAGTTACATCTAAATAAGCCCTGTCTTTGAAAAAAAAAATCTATGGCTGAAAAAGAAAATAAAATGCTATGAGGCCGGGTGGAGGTGGCACATGCCTTTAATCTCATGCTCCGGAGGCAGAGCCAGGCGAATCTCTGTGAGTTCAAGGCCAGCCTGGTCTACAGAGCGAGATCCAGGACAGGCACAAAAGTACACAGAGAAACCCTGTCTTGAAAAACAACAACAACAACAAAACATGCTCTGAATTAGGCTAAGGCATGTCATTGGTTTTAGGGTCAATCTCACTTTTGAAGTCACTAGAACATGAGCAAATGTGTCCTAGACTTAAGGATTGAAAGCACAGCACAATGATACTCTCAAGAGAGAACAGCATCAACAATTCCTATCCCAAATTTATGGTTGGGTATTTATGTGGTGATGGTGCTCCTGGGTAATGTGGCAATGTGGCAATGCCATCCCTCTACCTGGCTTTTCCAAATGTTATAGCACCTTCATACACTCCGCCTCTATTAGCAGCTGCTGGGATTAAACATAAAATCTGAATAACAAACTATTCTGTGCTCCTTTTAGGGCAAAATGGTGGCAAGCTGTAACTTAAATCATGCCTTGCATTTGCCTCCTTGCAGACTTGGATAGTGTGCATTTTTATCAAGACAATACAAGATATACGTAATGACAGAGTTGGGAAAATACACACTTCTCATTGCAAATGGGCACTTAGGTCTCAGCAAAGGTTGCTCTTGTGGTTTAGAAATGGATTGCTCCCACCTGTAAAATTGCACCAGGAAGATGATCCCCGCACTCCAATGCAGCCTACAGGGCATTAAGTGTTTACCAAGACTCTTAACAGACATGTCTAGACTTTTAACACTGGAACACAATATTGTCACTGACAAAGTTGATGATCAAGAACTGTACAACTGTGTTATAAAGACAAAATTTTGTAACATTTTCATTAAGTTTGTCATTTTGTGTTGGGCTGAATTCTTAGCTATTGTGAGGCACATGTGGCCTGTGGGCCACAGGTTGGTTATGTCTGCTAGACTCATTTATGAACATTTTACTCCTTTGAGCTTCTTGCCAGTGGTTTAGAATATTTTTTACCCCCTGTGAACATAAGTCGGAAGTTCCTGAAGATTCTAGAGAAAGTTGAGAACAAACAAGAAACATCTGGGAAAGTGACTTGGACTTTGGTAAGTTGATAAGACTGAAATAATTTCTGCTTAGGTGGATTGATCAGAATTGCCTCAAAGTTGTCAACATTCCTGTTGTGTCACTCTGCATGCAAATATAGCTACCATTCATATTCTTTAGAAATGGAACTAAAGAGGAACATCATGAGTGAACGTGACTCCACAAGCTGGAAAATGGGCATACTCACGAGGATTGGGAAGCCTTTCTTCGGAGCAAGTAGTCCACGACATCCGGATCTGTCTCCAGAAGGCTGATGAGCACTTCGTTCTGGAGATCAGGGGGAACCTGCAAGAGCCAAAGGTTGAGGCCTAAACAAAACTCCCTGTCAAAAGATGTAAAGCATAGCCTCAGCCACATTATGTCAGTATATGTCAGGCCTCTGAAACCTTAAGGATGCAGACTAACTTATTAGTTCAAATCAAACCTATACCAACCCATATACCATGTTTAATTCTCAGGACAAACTAGAGATTATCAGATAATCACATTCCCTTCAAAATCATATACCTGGAAATCTTGTCTAGTCATTTGGATGCCTCTGTTGCATAGACTGAATTTTCCTTGGCTTTGAGTGAGCAAATGATCATGGGTAAGAGGAATGGTATTCATAATTTGTATCCAAATGAGGACACTTTCTAGAGTCCATATTTTGAATTATGCTGAATGAATGGGCATAAATTATGATTGTCTGGAGATGTTCTGGAACATACAATCAGCTGATTTAAGTGCTCATGTCCTTGAGGCACAGTCCTTAAATTCTAGGTCCACTATTTTAGTTGTGAGACTCTTAACATTGTACATTAAGAAGGATTTGTTGGTCTCAGTTTCCCCATCTGTGAATTGGGAATAACAGTAATATCGCAAAGAGTTGCTAAGGTGAATAAATGACTCATTTTGTTATTGTTGTTTTTTGGTTTTTCAAGACAGAGTTCCTCTGTGTAACAGTTCTGGCTGTCCTGGAACTTGCTTTGTAGACCAGACTGGCCCCGAACTCACAGAGATCTGCCTGCTTCTGCCTCCTGAGTGCTAGGATTAAAGGCGTGCGCCACCACTGCCCAGTTTAAATGACTCATTTTGTGTTGAGAATTTGCAACAGTACTTGGTGATAAACACTGCCCCCCCCAAAAAAAAAAAACCCAAACAAAACAAAACAAAAATGATGCTGATACCTCTCTGCACAGGCTATGATGATTCAATATCTATCCTTCATTTCTTATGTCCAAATCCTACTAGATTTTTCTTGCTTCATAATTCCATGGGCACTAACAGGGACATTATACATGAGTACTTCACTTCTCCCAGTCTAATCCATAATTCATTCAAAGATAGTCTTAAGTCAGTCATGCAGAAATGTTCTCAGGGAGAAGACTGAACCCAGCTCTGACAGTTTTCTACTCCATAGTCCCTGCTAGCTCAAGCAAAAGCAATGCAGAGTGCTGGGAGAAAATAAATGTTCTCACACGTAAGTTCCAAGAGAAGAGTTTGCAAAACCACAGAGACAAGTCTTCTGAGAATAAGTGGTTGGTGGAAGAATTTGCCTTCTGCCTCTTGCAGTACTCAATTGTTCTTGAGTTTGAGAAGCTGGAAACAATCTTCTTAACAAAAACGGGGATGAGAAAGCAAGAGACCGCCTTTCTTCTCTTTAAATGTGTTCCTCCTACTTCATTCTTCATGAATGACATTGGCAAATTCTAGCCACATAGCTCCAAATCTGCAAGGTGAATCCAAGCCTATGTCCTGTCTACTTCCAGTCCAAGCCAGGAGGTCAGCTTGACTTCCTCTGTTTGGTACTTCTTCCCTTTCCTTCCATTCCAACTGCAGTGTCTGAAGTTCAAGCCTTCATTACTCCTTTGTAGAACTCATATGTTAGCCATTATCACCCTCCATTCTCCTCTTCTTAGAAAAGTTCTATCCTAACTCCTCTCTGCAGAACCAGTTATTCTCCAAACCCTTGGCTCTAGGGTGAAGTGGACCTTAATTGAAGTGGACTAATCATTCCATTCCCAGAGCAGCACACATCTCCCTGGGAAACAGGCAAGTGGCTCTACTAGAGTTGACCCAAACCATGATACTGTCTGAAAGGCTTCAGAGAGAGACCTGAGACAGATCCTACAACCACATACAGCCTGAGCGTTCCGGTGACACTTTGAACAAATAATGGCAGGGGCAGTAGATAGATCTTGATAGCATTTGAGTTCTGGGTTAAGCTATATACAAAGTCACACTCAACTTTCAACTATCCAGTCATCTGAACCCTCAAATTCCTTAAACTAGTTTGTGTTTGTAGAGGAAAAGGAATATATACACTTGGTGGCCCTTTCATGTGGTAGATCACTAACTTGAACCCTATTTCCTTAAAATACGCATCAAAATTCTCTACATGGTTGGAAGATATTCACTCAAAACTCTTTTTATCCCCACAGATGAAGCCACATCTTGCTGGCTTTCCTCAGCATGTAGTTCCCGTCTTCTCCTCTAGAAGTGGTTAAGATATCCTTATTCCAGCACCACTGTTATTCTTTCTGGCATTTTTCTAAGTCCATTCTTTTCATTCATCACATTGATATTTGGTCAGTGCTTACAGAATATCAGGAAAGGAATTTAGGGATTCAGCTACAAACCAGACAGACATGAATACTTGTATTTGTGGATATGGCAACAAACATAGGAAGATGGGCATTTAAAAAATACACAAGGAAGCTGGGCAGTGGTGGCACATGCCTTTAATCCCAGCACTTGGGAGGCAGAGCCAGGTGGATCTCTGTGAGTTTGAAGCCAGCCTGGTCCTCAGAGCGAGATCCAGGACAGGCTCCAAAACTACACAGAGAAACCCTGTCTCAAACAAACAAACAAACAAAAAACAAAAAAAAAATACACAAGGAAAGCATAATGTGAGTCCTATAGAGAAGAGCAAACAAGGTGAGAAGAAATGCTGAAGGAGGTGCAGTATTAAATGGGATGATCATGTCATGAGAAAGTGACATTTGAGAAAAAAGTCAAAGTTAGAGAATATCACACCAGGAAGAAGGAAGAAACTAATGTTAACAATCTTGAGTCCAGAACAGTGAGAGTCTAGCAAGACTGTAAGAAAGTGAAGAAGAAGTGGGTTGTAGGAGGGAAGCAGGTACCCAGGGCCAGATGTTGTAGAGTCATGTAGGATCATGATTCAGACTTCTGTTCTTGTTCAAAGTGAGTAGGGAGGCATTAGAGATCTTGAGCTGATGACTAACACATTTTTTTTTGAGACAGGATTTCTCTGTGTAGTTTTGGTGCCTGTCCTGGATCTCACTCTGTAGACCAGGCTGGCCTCAAACTCACAGAGATCCTCCTACCTCTGCCTCCCAAGTGCTGGGATTAAAGGCGTGCACCAACACTGCCCAGACTAACACAATTGTTATCACTCTGGCTTCTCAGTGGAGAGCATATCAAAAGGAAAGCCAGGGTTGAATCAAGGAACACTAACTGGGGCAACTGATTGGTTCCAACCATAAACGGTGGTGTTGAAGCAGGACAGCAAGATAATGGTAAATGTTTAGATCTCAAATACAGTGAAGACACTGGTAACAATTTAAGTTAATTTATTAGAAAGAGAGGAAGAATACGAGAGGCAGAAAGAGAAAAGATGGTTTTAACTGTTGTTGCTTGGGTAATGAGGATGGAGAAGCTATTGATTGACTTTGAGATGCTAATGGAAGAGAAAGCTGAGTGAAGTTCAGGAGTTAGGCTTTGATATGATAATGTTGACAGGTCTGTGAGACATCCAAGTGGAAGTATCTAGTACACAGCCAGAAATGAGGACTTGGAATTCAGTTTATCGATCTAGGCTGGGCATAGAAATGTGGAAGACACATATAGATAGCATTTAAAGCTCTATGATAAAAACAATGATCTAAGAATTAATAGGGAAAGAGAAGAAAAAGTGTGGAAATTTTAGAATGACAGATTGCATTCTCTAATTATATTAGATAAATTAAGCAATTAAAAACCCATCATTTTAACTGCATGACCATAATCAAATAGACATACATAATTACATCTATTTTTAAGCAATATATAAATTGTGAAATGAGAAATCATTTTATTTATTGCATTTTTATATATTCAGTTATTTAATGTGTGTGGGCATACATGTGGAGATCAGAGGACAAGTTGTGGGAGTTGGTTGTCTTCTTTCACTATGTGGCTAATGAGATTTGTGTTATAAGCAGCTTTACTCATTGAGACATCCTGTTGGCCCTAAGAGAGAGACTGGACATTGCAGCATATATCTGTAATCCTAGTGCTTGGGAGGCTGAGGCAGAAGGCATAAGTATGAGGCCAAAATGTGGGCTACGGAGGAAGACCCTTTGTCAAAGAAGCAAGGGATGGGGAAATTCAATGGAAGAGTGCTTGCTTTGCAAGGGCAAGGCCCTAAGTTTGATTCCCAGCACTGAAAAAAAGTTGAGCAAAGCAAAACTAATATAAGCCAAAAATGTATATCTTGAATTAATTTTTTATTATTATTTTTTAAATTTTATAATCTAATTTAATTTTACATATCAGCCACGGATTCCCCTGTCCTCCCTCCTCCCGCCCCCATTATTTTTTTATAAGAAACATCTAGGGGCAAATTAGGAAAATGCTTGCATATTCATATAGTTAATTCGATTTTAAAATTTGTTATGCTTAGATATGTAATACAAGTTTTGCTCCAAGCACCAATCTGTTCCCACTGAAAACTAAATAAGAGTGCATGTCCTTTGGAGTGATACAAGTACTGCAGTCCTAATTCCATGGCTATATGGTTTATCTAATGATAAATTATCAATGTGGAGAATCAGAATAACTTGCAATATTACAATAGGTTACAGGAAGTGTCATTGTTTAAAAGATAAGTTGCTGTAATTTGGTTGAACTATTCTGCATTTTTAAGTTTTTACTCATTCAACTAGGCTTGACCGCCAAGAAATTAAAGTTGTTGAGGGTTATTTTATGTAGTATACGTGACTTTTACTTGGTAACAAATGCACGTAAAATGGGCCAGGGCTATGAATCTATATATAATTTCTTTGTGAAGATTCCATGACAGCATTTGGGCTTGGAGAAATGATTTATATATACCAACAATGATATAGTTAAGAATGTGGCTCCACAACTAAAAGGAATATTCTCTTATGTATTCTGACAATATTCTCCTATGTATTCTGCAAAACTAACTTGCACACAGATTCATTAACTACATTATTTCCTTTAAATACCATTTTTGTTACAGAGTGATTTAAAGAACCTTCTATAATTCATATGAT